ACCCAAGAGCTATTAACAGATAATAATTATTGCTATTATTAATACTTACTAGTCTGTTAAATTATTTTGGCTTCAAGAGAGTTGTAACTAAGGTTTATCTCTTTATACATCTGCAGCCAAACATATTGAAATCATCTAATTTCAATGGGAAATAAGCATAATCATGGGTAGTAGGTTACTTCTGGACCAGCTTTTTCATTTATTCAGTTTCTGGTTTACTGTTCCAAAGTTTAGCTTTTTTTTAATCAAGAAATGCTATTTCCCATTCATTTTTCTTCATTTTTCAAGACTGAGAAATCAGTTTGTGAAAACGTGTCTACAAGACTATTTGAATTTATTTGAATTCTAATTCTGGGTGATATTCAAGACTAAATGAGTAGAATTCAACATTTACAACTAAATTTTCCTTTCCTTTTCATCACATCGCATTGCGCTTCCATCCCAATCTACTGCAGGGCATCTCTATACCTGCAAAGAAGATTTTGAAGGCACAAATGTGAGGAAGAATCTTCTTTGTCCGTTCTGCTAATATGATTTTGCTATATCTGGATTGTAAAGATGCAAACAGATGATCATAGAAAGAGTTATTTATTGGTTGTCTGGACTCCTATAGTTCACGTATATTGTAGATATGGTAGTTCTATGCTAAGGGAAGTCCTTTCTCTGACAGGACAGGTTAATATTACACTGCATTTTGGAACTGGATTAGTATGAGCTTTTAATAATTTAACATGTTTTTTTCCTAAATTTTACTGTAATAATGATTGTATTACATTCAATTGCATTAAAACTGAATAATTACTTTGGCATTATGATAAAGGGCCAAGAGAGGGCACTGTTTGAATTCATAAAATAATTTATGAATTCATTCATAAATTCAGTGATCAATAATTTGCACTGAAAACTGCTCGGAGTCCAATATTTTTCTAGGAAAACATGGAATTATATGAGTCACCTTGCATATTTAGACAGTTGTGAAAGTCAACATCTTTGTTCTTATGAAAGAACAAATCATTGTTCTTGATTACCAAATTTCTCCATTCAAAAATTCAGTTTTCTCCCTTTTAAGCCGTCAATATAGGAAACATTATCTTCCCAAAGTTGATTCCCTCTTTAGTTTATAGAATTTGATATTACATAATTCCCAGTCATCTGGCCAAGAAACGACCTGTACATCTTGAGGTGGGGAAAAGGTTGATACAAAGTAATCTAGCTGAAAAACCAATGTTCTGGAAGACATCTTTTTACACATACATAACTGGACTTTCCTGGGAGTTTTCCCATTATACTCACACCCACCAAAAAGTCTAGCAAGAGCTGCTGAAGAGAAGAAAGAAGCAATCTGAGGCATCCAAGTATCATCCAGGTGGACAATGACATCAGGAGCGTGACATTGTGGGATAAGACAGTACTTTTACAAATAAAATGGGATAAGACAGTACTTTTGCAAATAAAAATAATACTGACTTCTTTGGGGGGGTTTACTTTAATTATATACCTAGATTTAGATTTTTATATATATATTGTTCCGTTAAATACTGTTTAACATATGCATTTGCAATGTAATTAAAATTCACTTATAGATTATTTTCCTATTATTTTTTTTTAAAATGGTAATAGAACTAATTTGTTTTCATGATTTCCTCTTTTCCTTGCACAACCTTTAAATTGCATTTCCTTTCTTCCCTTTTCTATCATTTAAAAAAAACATACACTAAAAACATATGCAACCGTTTCTCATCACCTTCTGTGTCTCAACACTAGCAATACCTTTGGATAAATTCCGCTTTTTTGCAACTAGAACAGAACTCAATTTGACCTCTATTTTCCAGTATTTCTCCAAGAGAAATGCTCTGGAATTAATGATGGGGGGGAGCCAACTAAGCACTGATATTTGGTATAGGCAGTTTTGACAAGAGTGTGTATAGAAATTTCCACTTAAGAAAATTCTCACGATAGCTTTTTTTTTTAAAAAAGGAAGGGTATGATTGCCCTTGAGGAAAAACAACCCACATCCATATTTAAGCAGAACATGGGCCAACCACAATGGCACAAATATTGTGCAAGCCTTTACGTTCTCCACAACTCTGTCGGACAAAAGCAAGCAAATTTAAAGTGCTTTAAAGCAATTTGAGTCAATAAAGTTTGCTGTTTAAAGTCATGTTCACACTTTTAGAATAGAATAGAGCTGAGAGGGACCTTGGAGGTCTTCTAGTCCAGCCCCCTGCTCAAGCAGGAGAACCTATACCATCTTAGACAAGTGACTGTCTAGCTAGCCTCTTCTTAAAAATCTCAAAACTCAAAAATTTCACTTCTGAAAACACAAAGGACATGTATCCCCCATCTGTCTCCTGTCACAGGCAAAGCACACATGCACAAAGAGCAAAATTAAAGATGACTTAGAAAACAATGCAAAGGAAAGGCAGAGAGTAAACTTATGTGATATGCTAAATTTTAAAAATATATCAATTAATTGTAATATTACTGTAGGAGATGACTAGTGTGAGCCTGAGGTCAGGGTCAACCACATTATCAGTTTGGAGTCTCTAAGTCCGGCCTCTCTTGAAGTCCATTAACTCTTACCTGGCACCAATTTGCCTTGACCATTGGTAGATCAGATTCTTGTGTATAAGTAGCATGAACTAAACTTGTAGTACGTTTGAACTCTATTTTGGTTCCTGATTTCTTTCATCTGACACTATTTAGGGACTGGAGGGATTTGAATTCTCAGCATGTTAAAAAAAAAAAGACCCCTTTGTATGAATATTGTATTTTTCCACCCATGAACCAACAAGGTTATCATTATGAATGAAAGCAAATATACGCGTCCCAGGATAATGTTGCAGGATCCAGTCTGGGTCTTCCGAGCTTTCGGATTTGTGTTGGAGCCCATCATCAGGGAACTACTCTCTACCAGAATATGTGCCTTGGGTTATTCTATCTCTCGTATTTATGTGGTGCCTGGTTGTGCGTGGCTTTTTAGTTGTTGATTGGGATGTTGATGACTAGTTATTAATTACGATTTCAACAACTAAAAAGCCACATACAACCAGGCTCCACATAAATGCTATGCATAGAATAACCCAAAACACACATTCTGGAGAGAGAGAATTTTCCAACACAAATCCGAAAGCTCAGAAGACTAAACCTCTGGTCTTGGTAACCGGCCCAGACTGGATCCTACAAGATTATCATTGTTGTTCTGTGTTTTGGAAAATATTGTGCCCTTTTGCCCAGGTAGAATTTGCCACCAGAGAAAGGTGCACCCTGGTAAGGAAATCCTTCAGCAAATGTCTTGCACTAGATGAAAGCAGTGTGGGAATAACTCTCCAAGAATATACTTTCTATGAAGGAGGCCATGTGGCTACTGAGAGGCAATCATAACTTCCTTGGCACAACACTTGGTCACCTTTTGCTTCTTCTATTGCAGAAAGTCAATGGGAAATTGACCTCCTGGTCAGCAGCAAATAAACAAGTTCCTTAATTTTAATGATACCTCACTTATTTTTTTCTGCCCCACCATTTTTCTGAGAGGTACAGGTGGCATATATTCTGCCCTCACAGCAGCAACTCGTGGGCTACATTGGCCTGCAAGGGAGATCTGGCCAGGGAGATCTGTGGCTGAATAGGTCAGGGATTCTAATCTGGGTCTCTCCGATCCAGTGACAGCATCTTCACCAGTGGACAATGCTGGCTTTCTTGGGTTTATCTCTACTTTCGCTTCTGTTGCTTCTCTTTTACATAAGCAGTGAATACTTCCATATTTCCATAAGGAATGGTTTTGATTTTCAGTAAATGTTTCCTCTGAGTTCATTCTAAAACTCCCATTACTGAATAATAGCTTCTCATTTAAAAATAAGTCAAAATATCATTTCTACCTTGTTCATTTTTTCCCTATATCCAAAGCGCTGCTGACTGATCTCATAAAAATGAACTGCAACCTACCAATGACTTCTCTGAAACTGTGATAATATCATATTGTAGTTCTAACATTTCTATCTATATGCAGAAATTTGCTGGAAATAATGGTGATGGGATTCATGACATAAGGAGACCACACACAACTCCAAAGAAAGACAACCAAAACATAAAACAGATATGTATAACTGTCATTGTACTAAAATCAATGTAATCAATCAATTACTACTATTATAGCTCAATAAAACTGCACTCTGAAATTTCCACACTCATAGATTTCCTTTCTAGAAGACTTTTTTTTGCTAAGATAAAACACGAATTAGAAAGAGAAACTTATCGAAGTAATCAATTTATCTTGCATATGACTTAATGCTTCTGTTTTTTATTTGGTACCTTCAGTGGGGAATTTCTTTGCTCGCTCCTCAAAGAACCATTCACCTGTTTTCACTTTAATAGACCTGCCAGAAACAAAATAAGTATTTATTTGAATTTTATACATGCCTTTTTCAAGGAGGATTTTTGGAGACATAAATGGGCTAATTATTTTTTAAAAAATCGAACCAAATCAGTTCCATCATGGTGATCAAGAGCAGTGGAACGTCAGCTCTTGCATAATCAGTTATGTATTCTGTGATTTCGCACAAGCGTACAAACCCCCTTCTTTTCAAATCCTATGCTAATTCATATCCAGAGTCCCTATAGCTGCCGTTTATTTTTGAAACTCCATTCAAACACCATCAAACACCAACACCCCAGCTCTATAACAATTTTATCAATAAATGAAACAAAAGTAGTTTTTCCTGAAAATCAGCTCATACATATACCCACTCTCAGCCCTTTTTTCTTTCTTCCACAGGAAACGGTTTTTCCAGTCCTCCTTCTGAAATGGCAGACTTACACTTTCTCAAGGCCTTCTGCCATTTTCAGCAGCTGGCAATTTGGAAATTCCTATAAATCTGATTCCCCAAATAGAGGTTCCCACTGTCAAATATACACAGGTGGCTCTTAACTTATGACCACAATTGAGCCCAAAATTTATGTTGCTAAGTGAGAAATTTGTTAAGTGAGTTTTGCCCCATTTTACAGCTTTTCTCACCACATTTGTTAAGTGAATCACTGCTATTCCTAAATTAGTAACCCGGTTGTTAAGTGCACCTGGTTTCCCAATTGACTTTGCTTGTCAGAAGGTTGCAAAAGGGAAATAACATGACCCTGGGACACTACAACCATCATAAATGTGAGTCACTTGTCAAGCGTCCAAATGTAAATCACGTGACCATGGAGATGCTGCAACAGTCCTAAGTGTGAAAAATTCATCTATTAAACCAGCGTGCCAGAATTCCTCATCCAGGCACGCTGGCTGAGGAATTCTGGGCATTGAAGTCCACAAGTCATAAAAGGGCCAGGTTTGAAGACCCCTGTATTAAGTAAGGTAGGTTCGTACTCAGAAGCACAGCAGACAGTGCATTTCCACAGAAAGGCATTTAGAGTAACGCGACATTGAGAGCATATATAATGGCTGCATCCTTTGCACACTGCTCCTCTATCGAACAGGATTCCAAACGACTTCTGACAACGGGCACAAGACCGTTTCTGAGATCCATAGCTGGCACTTTTTGTTCCTTTACGCCAAAGTTGCTGCAGTTGGGTTTTCAGCTTCCTGTAGTTGATCAGAAAGAAATAAAAATATTCACACATTTGCCAGTGGAACATGTATTAGCACTACAAATTCTAAGTCATCTAAATATTATTAAACTGTAGCTGTGAATTGTGATACTCTGAATTCCATGGAGTCCGGCTCTAGCAGTTTTGCCAGTTTAAGGAGGGGAGTTTGAAGGGCAAAACTAGAGTGTCTAACTCTTTGAAATACTCAAGATATCTATTTGTTGTTGTTCAGTTGCTAAATCATATCCGGCTCTTCACGACCCCATGGATCATAGCATGCCAGGCTCCCTGTTCTTCTCTGTGTCCCAAAGTTTGCCCAAATTCATGTTAATTGTGTCAGTGACACTAACAATGTCACCTCTTAAAACTACTAAACCCTCTTTCTAAACTTGGCCCTGACCACCCCTCCATTTTTGCAACATGATCCTAATGTAAAATCTAGGTACTATTCTTGTGCAACTCAAGAATGGCTCAGCTAGCCTCATCAATGCAGAAACAAGTTCTATCTTGCATTTTCGTCTATTGATCATTGAGAAACCATAAAACTCTAACATTCTCTAAAAAGTATTTTGATGAGAGAGAATTGATTGAAAGTTTAATTGGTGGGAAAGCTGATAAATCTGAATGAACCTGTTTACTCTGTTCTAAATGGGATCTCAGTTCCTCTGAAAGATCAGTTAGGAGTTTTCCATGATTTGGGACTGATATTTGTAGTAAATCAAACCAACCATAGTGAAGAACTATCTGCAAGCATGTAAAATTTCACAAACATTAAGATCTATCTTACTATTAGTATGAGTTATAGAACATGTTTATTAGTATCCATTATTTGTGCAACTTTGCCTTCAAGAATATGCTTGTTCAATACAGTATCTATCCATCATTAGTTAAGGAGGCTTATGAATTTAATGGGTTTTTAAAAAGTGACTGGTTTTGAACATGGAATTGTTTTCATGTTTAAAGATTGATGGCTAGTTACTACTGTTGCTTTACTAAATGATATGCTTTCTTAACATTTAAATTTCTGATACTGTAAACTGCTTTGGAATATTATGTTGAAAATCAGCATGGAAGCATCAAAAGCCTACTTTTTCCAAAATTCTTAAAGTTGCCAAGCTGACTCCACTGGCAATGAATGATGGCACTTCCACCCAACCACCAGTTTCACTCCCCAAGCCCACAAAAATACTTTGAACTTGATCTGTGAATATCTCTGCTTCTGCCCATTTGAAATGTTGAGAAGGCACACAAACCACTGTCCCACTTCAAACTGCTGCAGAGCCTGTAAATCCAACAATCTACACAAAAGGGGAAGAAAAAGAACCAGTTATCTGGAGATTGGCAGATCGACTGGTTCTGTCTTTAGGGAAGAGGAAATTGATCAAACAGAAACCAGTTTTACTCTGATGGTTTTATCTGATCTAATTAGAAGTTACTAAGTCATCAGCTAGCATTTTTATTACAGTAAGTGAACTATAGGAGTTGGAAACAAGTGGTATACAGTCCTCATCTCAGGACAGTAATGGAGCATGCTGATGATGATCATAAGTTAAAACAGGTTGGGCACTTGACTGACCTGTTTTTATGACTTTTTTTGCAGCAGTTGTTAAGCAAATCACCGTTGTTTTTTTTTAATTAATCCCTGAAACCACTTAGGTTTCTTCCTACAAATTATTTCATTCAAAATTTCAACACTAGAGGGTGTTTTCCTGCTATCGTACCACAGAAGCTTGGACACTAAACTTGTACATTTTAATGTACCATTTTGTTTGGTTCTCAAAAGATACTGTATTATATATTTTGAACAGTACATTAGCTTTCACAGCTCAGAAAACAACAGCGCCTGCATTCCAAGATAGAACATACATACCTTACTCTTTCTTCCTCCAGTTTTCTCAACATCTCGTCACGGCAAAGGACATTTAGAACAATTTTTTGCTCCAGTTCCTTAAGTAAGTTAAGGTTAAATTCTTGGGACATCTTCTCTTCTGACAATCACAAGACAGAGAATCCAGTGTTGTCCAGCAGGGAAAAGAGTTATGAAGATTTACATCCTTCATTCGTCAGTGAAGCATTTGCAATGCATTGTTCTTTTTAAAAGTGGTAAAAAAAATATAGGTGTATATTCCAGAGAAGCCTTTGTTTTCACAAACTCATTATCTGTTTAATACATCTGCTCTTCTTATTAACAGTTGTCTGCTTCCTCCCATGAAGAAGTGAACTTCAGGCTGCTAATCTTCTGGAAGTAACATTAAATTGAAAAAAGAAATAAATTAATAATTCCGGTAGAAAACTGGTGTGGCATGAAATGTGGTTTATCATTGCTCAGTTTCACTCTGCTTGTACATCGTTGTGCAATTTGTTATATGTAGCTTTCAAAAAAGTATTTAATAGCCAATTACAATAAGCAAACTAATAAAAGGTACATGGAATTAAGGGCTGTTTCCTAGTTTCATATTCTCTCTCTCTCTCTCTCTCTCTCTCTCTCTCTGTGTGTGTGTGTGTGTGTGTGTATGTGTAGGGGGGAGAGAGAATTATGCTTTGCCTATGTCTCTAGAGGCACATAAAATGGCTTTGCATAAAACAATGCAATTCTGATTGACCACACCTCTCTCATAGAAATCAAGAGGATTTCCTTTTGTTATTTCCAGCAATGTGCACTCATATTGCATCATGGATATTGATTCATGAATTGATGTACAATAAATAGGAAAACCACGGCCATCATCCTCAAGCAAAAACCAGGGAGAATTTCAATGATGTGACTTGAAAAAAGAAATAATAACAGAGATCAAAGGAGAGAGAACTGTCTGGAAAAAAAACACCATTCATCTGGAGTTCTGCATATATGAGAAATATACCTCCAAGCGACCATGTTTTCTAGGGAGCTTAAGAATTTGCAAGTTGGAGATTATCTCTTTTTATGCAAAACGCACAATGTGTTTCAGATAAAAGGAAGAAGTTAGCTTTACCTTCATGCCATTTGATCTGAAAAGGTAGCTTTATAACTTCACTGATTGCCTAGAAGACCAAAGAAGTCAAACTGGTACTTTTTATGTTTTAAAAGCTTGTCTAAATTACTTCCTACAAATAAAATCAATTAAATCTAAGCAGATAACTTAGCATTCACACCATCATCAGACATAAGCAGATGCAGAATCTCATTGTTAACAATGACAGAAGTGCCCATCTCTGAATCTTTAGGAACTGATTTGGAATTACAAACCATTTTCTGTAGAATAACCACATTGGCATGAATGAGATTATTCAGAATTAAGGCATGATTGATGTTAGAAAGTTAAGTATACAATGAAGAGGAAATGAGAAAAGAACAGAAGTTGTGTAATGCATAATTTCATATTATGAATCTCTCTCTTTGGAAGTCAGGAACTCAGTTTTTCACCTACAAACATTTTATTTGAATATCCAAGTACATCCTATAATTTTATTATAGAAAAATCGAGCACATTCTCATTAGTAGTGGAAATGGTTTACGGGTCGCTGACTCTTTTTTTTTTGCCATATCAAATATCTAGCATTGTACACGTATCTCTCAAAATAATATTAACATGTTTCTTATTCTTGTGAATATAAAAAGGCAGAACTTGTCCAGGTTTATATTCTATTGGCAGAATATGATTCAGTTATTGGATAATTGTCAGCTATTATACTACTACCCCTAGCTTTAGTTCAGGAATGCCAAGAAGCTGACCAAATCTCTAAAATTCCTTTTTGTTTGTTTGTTTTGCAAATGAGTTTAGCTATGTGTCTTATTAAATACACAGGCAGTAATCATATTTTGTCACATTATTTTAACTAAACTTAAACTGAAATTAAATTAAATCAGATTTCATTTTTGTGCTGGCTGGCTCAACCTGCTTCTTCGGTACCAGCTCTCTCATTCTTTAAACAGATCCTCCAGCATCTTTAACTGGGTCCTAATGGGAATGTACTTGTTTGCTACACATTCATAATACTATAGGCTGCCAGTCATACTGGCGCTGGTGAGACACAGAGGAAAATAATACAGAAAGAGTCAGACACCTCAGCCCCTCTTTGATCCTTTTAAAACTGGTGACAGAACTCTGGCCAGAGAGAAACTGGAAAAGAATGGAGCCCTGATTAAAGTTTGGGAATTTCCAAGAAGCTATATCTTATATAATAATAATAATAATAATAATAATAATAATAATAATAATAATAATAATAATAATAATAATAATAATAATAATAATAATAATAATAANATAAAGTTGGAAGGGACCTTGGAGGTCATCTAGTCCAACCCCCTGCTCAGGCAGGAAACCCTATACCATTTTGGACAAATGGCTGTCCAGTTTCTTCTTAAAAACCTCCAGTGTTGGAGCATTCACCGCTTCTGGAGACAGGTTGTTCCACTGGTTAATTGTTCTAACTGTCAGGAAGTTTCTCCTTAGTTCTTTGGTTAGTTTCCACCCGTTGCTCCTTGTCCTGCCTTCAGGTACTTTGGAAAATAGCTTGACTCCCTCTTCTTTGTGGCAGCCCCTGAGATATTGGAACACTGCTATCATATCCCCCCTCGTCCTTCTCTTTGTTAAACTAGACATACCCAATTCCAGCAACCGTTCCTTATATGTTTTAGCCTCCAGTCCCCTAATCATCTTTGTTGCTCTTCTCTGTACTCTTTCTAGAGTCTCAACATCTTTTTTACATCGTGGTGATATCTTGTAGATATCGGTAAAAACATTCTACGAGGAATTGAATGTGGTTCTATTTATTTCCTTGCATTGAGTCTAATTTACCTTTTATTTCTCTGCACAACTAGCAGAGGGGTCTCCAAACTTGGCAACGTTAAGCCTTATGGACTTCAACTCCAGAATTCCTCAGCCAGCATGGGTGGCTGAGGAATTCTGGGACTTGAAGTTCATGAGGCTTAACGTTGCCAGGTTTGGAGACCCTTGAACTAGCATACTGTGAGTTCAGCTTTTACTCAGTCTTTCTCTTGCACTGGGGTGCTCCCTAAAAAATAGATAATGGTGGGCGGCACTGCCAAGCTGTTAGCCCAAAGGAGGAGGTATGTTCAGGGGGTGAAGATCCTGGGAAAGGAGGTTTGAGAACTCCAAACCTCTACCCTACAGGCTCAACTTGTTTGGTTATGTGGCCCCTGGTCCTGGCAAGAAAATGGCCTACCTTATCCCCATCTTCTGCAGAGGAATCTGAAGACATGGCTTCCATCAGAGATGCCCTGATGAACTGATTCCTGATTCACATCTAAGTATCCAACACCATATGATACTACACCAGTTCCCTAGATGAAGTGCATTTTCCAAAGGCTTGATATCAATATACTGTAAATGCATTGTTCTGTCATACTAAATTTAAAAAGAAAACATGAGATAATGCAATGGCGAACAGAAAATATATTTTCTTTGAGGGATTTTGTCTTCTGAATTTACTAATAGCTCTCCTAATATTATTAACAATATTTATGTTGGATTTTTAATGTTAAATCATTAGATCTGAGATTGATGGCACAGTGGTTAAGGCACCAGACTAGAAACCAGGAGACTGTGAATTCTAGTCTGCCTTATCCCCAAATCCAACTGGGTGACTTCAGATCAGTCACTTGTCCAGAATAGTATAAGGTCTCTTGCTTGGTCCCTTCCGATCCTATTATTTCTATGTTCTATGTGCTTTCACTCAGCCCTAGGAAAGAGGCAAATGCAAACCACTTCTGAAAAAGCTTGCCAGGCAGTCACCAGGAGCCAAAGCTGACTCGAAAGCACTAAAAAAAACCCCAAAAACAAATCCTTACTCTTAGAAAATAAAAACAGATCAGACAAAATTCCATGAAACTACTTTTTCCCATTAATAAATAGTGACTTACCTGTTCCTTCCAAGAAAAAAAAGAGAGCCTTGCTTTATTGAATAAGAGCTTGTTACCACCTTCTCATATGATTCTGTCTTGCTGACCCAGAGTTAACATGGAGTTTTCTCTGTGTGCTTTACCTGACTGTTGTTCAGCCATCTGCACTGGAAGTCACCGTTAGTAATACAATTTGCTCTCAAAGAGAGTCTCAACAGGTTTTGGAAGAAGCCTTTCGCTCTGAGAAAAAACAGCTGTTCCCATTAAAATGGATCTGAAACGTCTAGTCATTGAACAGGAAGAGTAATAGCAGTTAAATGTGATACTGACAGTGTTTCCTCCTTCTTCCTCTCTAATATTAGATGTGTGCAATACTGCAAACCTCAGTTTCCGCAAAGCTTCAGAATAAGAAACAAACAATTATAGTCAATATGCCATTTACAAGAAAAGATTGGGGGGGGGGGTTCTTGAGAACTTAGGCAATTAGGCAATATTGCAGTACTGTTAATGTGGAGGTGAAATTGCTTTATTTTGCTGTGAATGTGCATAATAGCATATTTTTAATGGACAGAAGGATTTTATCTTTGTTATAGGACCAAAAGCAAATTCATCACTCATCAAGGAGCAGCATCTTAGCTGGAGTCTCTAGATCTTCCGTGTCTATAATCACCTATATGTCTGTTTAAGAACCCCTGTCCATATTTAAAGAGAATACCGTGGAATAAATGAGCTTTTGCAGCATTTCTCTTATTAGCTCAATGATCCATCTAGACTAGCATTCAGTTTCTCACAGTGGCCAATTCACACTGAATCTAGAGATTAAAGGAGCCACCATGACTGTAGGTCCATTTTGCTGATATGAAGAATCACAGCTTTCCCAGAAAATAAACTTCTTGGTTCTTCGCTCTCATATTTCCACTCATATATTTTTCATCTTTGCTGGTGAAAGTGATTCATATAGCAAAAAAACGTTCCATATATTCTTGGCAGCAATATGGAGGAAGGTTGCCATTGCTTTCTGAGTTATTTTTTTCAACTTCCCAGTCTAGACTATAACTTTAGGATTTCCTGGTTTACATTATTCTTCATCCTATTATCAATCAGGCTTAGACTTTATCATCTCGTTGGGATCAGCTTTTTGGATCCAATCAAAATCTACTTATGAGTTCTAGGAATTCTGTAGGGAATATCCCTGCATTGTGTGTTCTTTGAAGGAGATAGTGCCAGAACCAGATAAGGGC